TATCTATCTATCTATCTATCTATCTATCTATCTATCTATCTATCTATCTATCTATCTATCTATCTATCTATCTATCTATCTATCATTTCATCTCTATTCTGATGGCTAATCAGACATTGACTATGTTAAAGTGGTTGTGAAGAAGCCATTCTTATGGAAGGGAACCAGGAAGAAACAAAACAGTTATTCAAAAAAGTTAAATCCCCTAACAAACATGCAGAAAGTGGAGGAGACTTCTTCCAGTAGCCATGCTTTGTGAAAAAAAACAACATCCCCTTCTTAAAACTTGGTATTTTCCCCAAAACATTAAGTTGCAGAGCCTAAATATGGCCGCCAGAGGGCGCCCTCACACCACTCATAAAACCCACCATGGAGGTGTTTATTTTCTTAAAGGAAACCGGAAGTACTCCGTCATGGCGTCTTACTTCACGGTTGGTCCGAAACGTTAGATTTTGTGTCATGACTTTTGCTTTAGGATACGTTTCCAAGCGTCATAATGCGGCGCTACATACGTGCACTGATACTGTGCATGGTATTCGCCGTGTTTTCGGGCTTGTACGTGTACAATAAGCCGTTTTACTCGGACGTGTCGGTCGGAGGAAACGGAGCGAAGAGGGGTCCCGTCCCACCGAGAGACCCCGGAGCCAGGCGAGGGGCTGCGGCCAGGAATGGGGACCAAAACCCACCACACTGGGACAATAGGTAAAAAAAGAGACGGTGCTTTTTATGGTTGTGTTTTTTTAGGTATTCTATACTGTGTGGTAAGCATAGGAGAGATGAGAAAGCGACGCTGTGAGTGCAGAGATGCACCGGAATGTGTTGGACAATCAAAACTTACACTGTGAAAGCTGCTGTGAAAAAAGGCTGGGAAACCTGACAAAAGCAGAGGGGAAATTATCTGATAGTGTAAATATATGACTACAGGAAAAAGTTCTGATGCTGTGAAGTAGTTTTGAATAAACATTTCCTTATAAACCTGAATTTAAAAACATCAGCAGAGCTGCGAAGTGGCTCAGAGGAAACAACAGCTGTCTCCTGACCTGTGTCTGGTCTTCAGCCTATCTATGGTGCTATGAAATGTAATCTGATAGACGACACATGAGAATAAAAATAAGGCATGGCCCTAAAGATTTCCCCCCTTTTTTAATTTTAGAAAGTCTATCTAATCATTTAAATCATTATCCATAAACACATGTCACCCTCACACTGGTTTATGTCCCCAATAGAAAAGATTTAAAAACTGCCTTTCAGTTTTGTTTAATTTCTCTCCCTGCAGGATTGCCGTGCGTCAGGCCGGTCAGATGGAGGCGGCTGGACGTGGCGTTGGGGGCAGACCGGAGCCTCCGATGCACCTGGCAGTGGTGGCCTGCGGGGAGAGGCTGGAGGAGACCGTCACCATGATCAAGTCGGCCGTGCTTTTCAGCATAAAGCGCCTCCACCTGCACATCTTTGCAGAGGATCAGCTGCACGCTGGCTTCATGGAAACCGTGAGATATATGTATATTTAGTATTGTGTTAGCCGTGTGGTGTTTTATTGATTTATTTTATGCTCCACATGTTGGGCTTCTGGGTCTCTGTGCACCGGATAAACCGGAGCGCTCTCTTCTGTGTTGCAGTTGGAGTCGTGGACCGGTTTTGTTCGCTCCAAGTTCAACTACACGGTTCACCCCATCAGCTTCCCCAGTGACAACGCAGCCGAGTGGAAGAAGCTCTTCAAACCCTGTGCTTCCCAGAGGCTCTTCCTACCCGTGAGTTCCTCTCCGAGACCACACAGACTGGAACCGTGACGTCATCGTTACCAGATCCTCACTGTTATTCCATCTACCTTTGACTTTTGCAGCTAATCCTAAAGGACGTGGACTCGATTGTGTACGTGGACTCGGACATCCTCTTCCTGCAGTCCGTGGACCACCTGTGGGCCTTCCTGTCCCGGTTTAAGCCGTCCCAGCTGGCCGCCATGGCCCCGGAGCACGAGGAGCCCCGCATCGCCTGGTACAGCCGCTTCGCCCGCCACCCCTTCTACGGCCCCACCGGCGTCAACTCGGGCGTCATGCTCATGAACCTGACCCGGATGAGGAGAGCCTTCTTCAGGGTGAGTGGGGCCGCGCTGCCTTTTACGGACCACAAGATGGCCCCCTCTCCCTGTACGTGACGCTGTCCGGTCGCCCACAGAACGACATGACGCCGGTGGGGCTGCGCTGGGAAGAACTGCTGATGCCTCTCCTCCAGAAATACAAGCTGAATATAACCTGGGGAGACCAGGACCTGCTAAACATCATTTTCCACCACAACCCCGGTAAGACCACGCCTGTGTGGAGCCACAATAACGAGCACGGGGGGTGTTTACATGCCTTACGGACGCTGTGGATGTCCACCGTTCTGTGTCTCTGCCCTCCATTCTCAGAGCTGCTGATGGAGTTCCCGTGCAAGTGGAACTACCGGCCCGACCACTGCATCTACGGCAGCAACTGCGCCTCCGCTGAGGAGGACGGCGTCTACATTCTGCACGGGAACAGAGGGGTCTACCACGACAACAAGCAGCCCGCCTTCAGGGCCGTGTACCAGGCCATTAGAAAGGTCCGTTTGGGTTTTGCACGTCTGCAGCTGTATCCAAACAGCCCAGTCAGGGTTTTTTGGGTCCGTAATATCAGCCACATAGAAGCTCATAAGACCTCTTTGTTAAAAGGGAGGTTTCACAGATATTAAAGAGCAGTGAGGACGTTAGGCGCTCAGCTTTCGTTGTAGGTCCGGTGCTTTCTCTCATCTTCTCTGAAGATAAGTCGTCTCCTTTCCTTTTTTATGCACGATGCCACATGTCACTGATGGGCTGTGGCGTCTCTCCTGGAGATCGTTGCTGGTGTATTTCTGACCTGGGACCGTGTACACACACCAAAAAGCTCCACTGCAACAAACTGACCAAACAGCTGCTTGTATACAGCTGCTCACATCTGCATATGATGAATGAAGCAAATGCATTTTATGAGCAGCACCTGGCTGCTATTTTTTTTTTTATTATCATGATTTGATTTGCATTTGAATATTTAAGAAGAGGGGCGGCACGGTGGTGTGGTGGTTAGCACTGTCGCCTCCCAGCAAGAGGGTTCTGGGTTCGAATCCCGGGGGAACCAGGACCCTTCTGGGTGGAGTTTGCATGTTCTCCCTGTGTCTGCGTGGGTTCTCTCCGGGTTCTCCGGCTTCCTCCCACAGTCCAAAAACCTGCATGTTAGGTTGATTGGAGATTGGGGAAATTGCCCTTAGGAGTGAATGTGAATGTGAGTGTGAGTGGTTGTTTGTCCTTGTATGTCCTGTGTGTGGCCCTGCGATGGACTGGCGGACTGTCCAGGGTTTACCCTGCCTCTCGCCCGTTGACCACTGGGATAGGCTCCAGTTCCCCCCGCGACCCCATGAGGGAATAAGCGGTATTGATAATGGATGGATGGATGGATTTAAGAAGAGTTCATCTTCAAAAAAGTGTCTGAGGGTTTAGGGACTTTTTGTGATGGAACTTTCTACAGGCAGATATTTATTTGGGTTATAGAGGAAGGTTTCCTTTGTCCGTAAACAGTCGATCTGAGGTCTCATTTTGCTCACACTTCCTGTTTCCATCAGGGAGCAAAAAAGAAACAAGCGTCTTCGTGTTAAGTCCCTTTGATAAATCCAACTTTGAAAAAAGGGTTTGACAAGCCCTTTGGAAGTCTTGTGGGTGTAATTTAGCCCAACATGTGATGAAAAGCCCTTTTCTAACCCCGGGGAGACATCTGCCCCGTGCTCCCCGGGCCCTGGTCCTCGTAGATGAGCTTTTGGATTGGCGCTGACCCTGAAGACCCAAAGTGCTTTGGACTCAGATTGTCTGCATCGGGGCGCACAAATCCCCCCCCCCCCCCCGCTGACAAACGGCCGGGGCGAAAGCTAATTTCCCCCGTGAGGATGTTTATGAGTTGCTTACTCGCAGTGTAACGATATCGACGACACGAGTGGCATTTACTTAATGAAGCCATCAACGCCGGGAGTCTCATCGCTTTCCTATCGGACATAGATCAGGCGGATGGCTGATCCATACCTGATCCACGGCCTGCAGTTAAGACTGCGGCTTTGTGGGACAGGATCAATTACAGCACTAAACACACATGCACTTTTACCATTTGTCCCCCACCCACAGCATGGCTTTTATAGCCCTGTGATCAAGTCTGCTCTCTACGCGGTCAATCGTCCTGCGTGCTGCCAATCCCCGGTCAGGGCTCAGTGTATTTAAAAGAAAGAGAGGAAATGCACAAACAAAAAAGATGACTCGTTTAGGGCCCAACAGCAAACCCAAATGGAGGTGAGGAGTGTTAAAACGGATGCTTTTAGTCGACTTTAGGATGTAACGACTCATCTACAAAGCCAATGTGGATAGAGGGTTAGAATAGTGGTACATTAAACCTGTGTACCGCTATTTTTGGACACTGAAATTGATTTTAAAAAAGGAAATCCAGTTTGTACTAGTGGGTTTTGAGGAGTGATTTAAAGCTCTACAACGGGTCCAAGTTTGTGACGAGTTTATGGGGAGCTAAAGAGTTGTGAGGTACAAAAACTAGAATGTAGGTGTGAGCACAGGTCCACAGTCCACCGGCTAAAGATTTCATTTGACTCAAATAAAAAATGTTTTCCGTGATATCGCATGAAAGTGATAAAGTTCACTTTGTGGTTCCCCTCCCCTGGTTGATGTGTTAACCAGGATCATTACTCCAGTGGTTAACCCACCTTATAAAGTGGAGATTGATCGTCCTCAGACAAAAGAAACGGGAACCCGGCAAACACTGCCCCTCCCCGTCTCTCCATCCCACCGTTAATTTTTACGGCCCGAGTCGGAGCCTGTGCACCAGCCGTGCCCAGTCAGCCGCGCGGAATCCATACACGAACTGTAAACGCTGCTTTACGAGCGGCCGGTGTGTGTAAGTGCGCGCTCATAAAAGCGCCATTCTCTCTGTGACCTGATATCAGGGATCCAAACGGCAAGCAAATGCGCCGGCATAAAAAATGTTAATTCCCCTTTGATTTCCTCGGAGCGTTGTAAAGGCCCCTTCATTATTGGGAAGACATGAAACTCCCGCTGCGGCCTGCTTATTGTGGGACTGTAAGCCTGTAGCAGTAAACCGGACGTTTGGCCCGGTCCTGTGAGACATCGATATGCACAAAGAATTTAGTTTTATTTAATTTATCTGTAAAATAAATCCCCTCTGAGTCCCATTGTGGAAGCACAGCATTTATCTTTGGTAGCATGAAATCCATTTTACTCATAAAACAGCTCTTATTCAGTATAAATCTTTAAAAAATGCTTTTCCTTGTTCTCTTTGGCATTAAGTGAACTTTAAACTACATTGTTGTCTTCCAGTACGCCTTCGGTGCCGACCCAGTGTCCGCGCTGCTGGACCCTCTGGAGGAGGACCTGCTGAAGACCACACACACCTACTGCGGCAAATCCCACGGGCTGTTCACCAAGACGCTGACCCGCAGCCTGGCACTGGTCAGCGGGGAAGCTGCAGGCCGCCGGTGACCCGAACAGAGGAAAAAAAACAGCCCTGAGCTCCCTTTTTTATTTATTTATCCTTTAAAATGCTGAACAGCACAGCACGACACAGCAGCCCAGTTTAAACACGACAAAAGTGGCAAAACTGTGAAGCTGGGAAGTTCTAACGGAGAACAGCTGCCTCAGAGCTCCGTCAGACAACTGGAATAGTGTCAGACTGAGACTAAAAACTAGGCAGCTTTAGCGAATCACTCAGGAATTTAGCAGGATGGAAATCTCTGAACACTGATGCCACTGCTGAAGATGCAAACATATCTGCCTTCATCCTCTCTAAAGAGTTCCTGCTTTTGTCTGCATGGGAAACTTTTGCTGACTGACTAAAGGCACAGAAGGGAAAAGGAGGAGCTCCAGACTTCCCATATTGAAGAATCTATTCTGAAGATTTGAGAACTGGACCACCGTTTGTCATCTCTGAGAGCTCAAAGATCATTTCAATGAATGTGTGTGTGTGTGTACGTTGGGTGGGGGATTTTCCCCTAGTTTTTGTCTTAATGCTGAAAAGTTTGAGCCATGTGCACATATGCAACCATCCCGCCCTCATTACCACTTCTGTCAGGCTACTTTTTAAGTTACATTTTTAAAAAAAAGCTGTTTTCTTGCTGCAGACATGCAGAAATGTTGGGGATGTGTGCTGAAGCATCCGATACTGCAGTGCCTGAGCATATCGGTGTGTCGACAAATAACTGTTTAACATGAGAATAAGCTAAAAGTTCTCGATTGATGCCAAAGAATGTTTTTATGTCTGTGATGTTTTCATCACTGCTGAATGTATTATGAATAAAATGAGATAGAGTGTGAGCATTCTCATGGTTTCATTGTGAAGTTATCACATGTGATTGTGTGTTTTTCAGTCTGACTTTTCTCGGACAGCAGTGTGCCGATCGACCACCAGAGGGCAGCGTTCTGTCAAAACGCTGAGGATGAGGGAGCATGTTTGCTTTTTATGTTTTTTTTTCATTTCTTTATTTTTTACCAACAAGAGGCATCTTTGTTGGCTTCATAAAGATCCAACTTGAAGAAGATGAACGACTTGTTACCTGTCAATAATCTATGAGTGGGACGCCCCATTCCTCGCCACTCCTGCCTCCACTCTTGAGGTGCTCATAAAGTGTAAGTGATGGGCCAATAACGCGCCTCTATAGGTGCCTATCTATGACGCTGTGTGCCATTGACTTCGGGGGATGAGTTTATGCTTATTCCCATTAGGTCGGCCACGCCGCGGTCTGTTTATGACTCCAGAGGTGGTTTGATTTATTACACCGCAAAAGTCCTTCATTCATCACTATATATCCAGATGAGAGCTTATCAATTACCTTTATTGACCGGTGCGCCTAAATGCAACATGTAAGGTGTCCTGGTGAGGTGGTGTGTGTGTGTATATATGTGTGTGTGTGTTATTGGGAAGGGAAGGGGGGTCAGTGGTGTGTTGGTGGTCCACTTTCCAAGGTTTCATTTTCCTGAAACTACGTGTTTTTTTTATATCGTAATAAATAACTCCGGTTTTTATTTCTCCCGTGTCCTCACAGCTGCAAGAGAAACTATTTAGACTAAATAAGTGACCTCCAGCTTTCAGAGAGGATGGAGTGGAAGATGCAAGGAGAGCGGCCTCGCTGCCTGATAATTAAATCCACGAGTGTCGGAGGGGGGACAAAAGAGAGAAATAATGGGGAAAAATTCAGGTAAGGTTGGCCATTTTTTTTGCTATTGTCACTGGTCGCAGTGTGGAAGAGGAGAGGTGAGGGAACAGCGGGAGG